GTTGAAGACCTCAGGAAATAAGTAATGAAGGCAGGTATTGTAGTATAGGTTGGTAAAAATTTTCTGCATCTGTTCTTCTATCAGCGGAGCTAATGGAGATGCTAGACAATGTATACAGCTACAGGTCCAGCAAGTGGTCTTTGCATCCACAGCCACAGTCTGCATCAGCTGATGGATGTGTCCAAACAGTATGGTGGTTCAAACAGCAGCACCAATGATGAATTTTCACAGCGCGTATCAAAAATGAGTAAAGAGTGCGTGCACCTAGGGCATCATGTAGGTCTTTAGACTGACTTCACCAAATATGATGCCAAATATTCATGAATATTCCAAATGTTCATGAAAGTAAAATACCTTTAAATTGCTGTCGGGCTACTGTTATGGCTTCAAGAGGCTTTTTTTTTTTTTAAATTACATTTTGTGATGCTACAGTAGTGAAAAAAACTACACCCTCTTTCAATTTTAACGTTTGACATATGTGGATAATTAAAGAATTTAATCTGGTCTTAATTATTTTAATACCGCAGAGGAACAACAACACATGAGGCATTGTAATTATTTACTTAATGCCAAAATGCAGAAGCTGTGTGTGGTTATAAACTAGATGAAAGAAAAAGAAATCAAACATAGACTTGGCTCAGGGTTACAGGAAAATGAAATCATTTTAAAATTGTTTGCAACCAACATGGAAAAAAAGGGAACAAAGTTGCTTCTAGAAATCTGTATTTCTTACTGACGCTCACCGGGGAAAGGCAAAGACTTTAGACACTATTAAAAAAAGATTAGATCTTCCTGCTGTCTGCGCGTTGAGCAAGCTTCCAGCATTGGTGATGTACTTTCAGAGAATTGATTGGTCAGTAGGTGATCTCTTATTTTAAACTGGATGTGCTTTGGAGCATGTTAGGCCTGTGGCAGAAGTCATTATAAAAATGAAAACTCGAGGTTAACCCGACAAGTTAACAAATCCTGCACACAGTCCTGATCTCAATCCAACAGAACACCTTCGGGATGAATTAGAGTGGAGACCACGAGCCAGGCCGTCTAATCCAACATCAGTGTCTGCTCAAAATTTGCATAAACGCACTCCTAAACCTTGTGGAAAGCCTTCCCAGAAGATCTAAGGAGCTGGGAAAGAAAAGCAACTGGATTTCTTTCAGTTTCTTGAAGACATTTCATCTCTCATTCGAGAAGCTTCTTTAACTGAAGAAGCTTGCTTTTCTTTCCAAGCTCCTTAGATTACAATGACTAGCACTGAGAGCCTACACAGACACCTTCCCAGAAGAGCTGAGGCTGTTATAGCTGCAGAGGCTGGGCCAACATCATAACAAACCCTATGGATTAAGAATGGGATGGCATTCAAATTCCCTTGAGCGATACTTTTTTCCAATACAGTGTACATTTATTTGGATAAACTGTCCGTTTGAAGTAGTTGATGTAACACTAATACTAATAAGCTGGTTGTAACAGTAGATTACAGTGGTATTAACGCGTATGTCATTGGTGGGAGAGAGCGTTTACAGTTTGGCCTGATAGGCCTCAGAGACGTTTCCTCTTCTTCATGTTTCTTTTGTCTTTCAGGTGTGACCTCAGAACAGACGAGCACTGTCGCGACGGAGGACGTGGACGATCTGGAGTAGTGAGCGCAGGTCTTGGTCCGGAGGGGGGGAGGGGGCGTCTTAACACTGATTCATGGTGTCACAAACCCACGAAGGCGCTGCTCTGCCCCTCTTGGAATCACTCGCATTTACTGTACATCCACTGACTGTTATGTTTTTGTACTCATGTTTATGCAAAGGTACTGTCCTCTCTCCCTATTTATTTGCTTTAATTTGTAAAAAGAAGTCAGGCGGGTTTTATGTTTGAGTAGAACTGTCGGTGCTCACGGTGTCTTTTATTTGTTTTGTCGTTCCTCGATTTGAAAGACGAGTCGTGTGCAGGGCTGGAAACTAACAGGCTGGTCGTTTCCGCCTCATTTGCCGTTAGTTCCCCTCCCTGGTTGTATGAAGATCGAGTTAGTGAAGTAACCAAGTGTTTGTGCTTATAAATTGTGGTTCCAGTGACGTGACATATTTATTCTTTTTGACCAAATGCTCCTGCTGTCTGAAGGGATGCTACAGGTTTGTGTGTTTGCTGATGCGGGGGCAAATACGCTCATTCGCTGAGACAGCAGCCTTGCGGCTGTGACCACGTGCTAAAACGAATGCTGATGGCCACAGCCGCCACAGTTTGTTTGGACCAAAAGTGATTTTTTTTTTTTTTTCTTTCAGCTTGCCGCTTTGCAAAAGGTTGCCTTTTCTCGCAAACCCCTTCGCCCCACAACGCTGTCGTTGTTGAGGCTAGAAAATCCAGAAACATGCACTCATAAAGACTCATTTTTCCTCAGTAACAAGGCTCAACAGAGCCAGAATATAACAAAGAACCAAATGTTGGAGTCCATTCCAGATATGTCAGCAGTTTCCCAATCAAAGATCTAAATTTACTCTATTCTCCAGGTTAAAGCCCCTCTCTGCTAAATCAGTGCATTTTCCTCCAGCTTAAAAAACCCACAACAGATAAAACATCCTGGACAACTTTGGGGATAACGACTTCCTTCTGCAGGCCGACAAGCTGAAAGTCAATTCCAGTGTAATTCCCAGTGACGATTAAGGCAGGAGAGGATTTTTTTTTTTTCCCCTTCGTCTTTTTTTAAGTGAGTTCTGAACGTGCCAACCAAGCAGTTTTTTTCCCTGCTCATGCAGTGTTTAGACTTCGTAGACATCAGTAGGAAGAAGTTAGTGTTAGTGCACAGCCCAGTCATGCTGAGCCCTCCACCCCATGACGCGATGGAGAGTTTATTCTGATCAGATGAGAGGAACGATTACTGCTGCAGCATTAAAGGCAAGGAAAACTTTTGTTCATGTAACATTTAAGATATGCATCATATAAGTATAAAATGTTATAATAAAATAGCCTAGAAATGTACTTTTCGGTTTGAAATGCATTGATGCCAATAGACTAAATGGCACATAGCCATGTTTAGTTTAAAAGTCTGTGTATATATATATGTGTGTGTACCTTCTTCCTCCCACTTAATATGCCGACATCAGTCGAGAGGCAGTGTTGAATCTTTAGATTTTAACTTGCCAATGCATTGTATTCAAGGTGATAATGTCCCTGTGTTTGATGTAATTCCCCAAATTAAATGCAGGAGACTTTCAGGACCTGAAATGCTCAGTTTAGGAGCAGACTGATGCTATAAAAGTTGAAAAGCTCCCATCTCCTCCTCTTGTTGCAACATTAGTTTGACTGTCAGGATGCCCAGGGGAAAAAAGTAATGGATTTCTGTGTTTGATGGACATTTCAGCTTTGAGTCATTTAATAGTTTTAACTTTTGAGGCGTAACCGTGACAGCAGAAATCCTAATCCTTCAGGGACATTCGTTTGGGGGTGGGGGTGTTGCTCTTAAAATGAAAAGGATAGCGGTGACGTGTCTCTCCTAATACATCCAACAAATTCATCACCTGCGTGTCAGAAATGCTGCAGCAGTAACGGACTCTTGTTTGGAAAGAATTTAAAACCCTTACAAGGGATGTTTCATGTTCAACACGGCTGTCTGGTTTTAATATATTTAATCAGTGATGCATAATTTATCTCTGTGTGGTGTTTCCAACATGTTTTACCGGCACGGTGTTTTACTTTGCAGTACAAGGAACGTCGAATGTATCATCTTTTGAAACGGTTTGCTTTGAAGAGCGGGTTTATTTTTAACAAGCTGTTAAATATTCAGGTATTCACAGTTATTAAAAAAAGCAGTGTTTTGTCATGTGTCTTCCTCGGCTCCGTGTGAGCCGGTGGCGTTATCGGTTTACAAACCAGTAGTGGGAAACCTTTTAGTGGCTTAACTTTGCAGCTTCCTTCCTGAAGTCTTGTCACTCGTCTTGCTTTCTATCTGCAAGTTTACTTAAGGTGCACCAGAGGAGACGGAAGAAGGCAGCTGTTAAACAGAGACCATGCTTACGTTTAGGACCGCACACAGACTCTTTAATTGTCATTTAAATAAATGGGCATGTGCATGTACCTGTGTTCTGCTTTTTCTTTTCTTTCTGAGCGTGAGAATCTACTAACGAAGCTCCTCCTTTTCTTTCTACACCAAATGTGGATGCTTTCTCACACACACAACTATTTAAAGATGAGTAAAGGTGTCTTCATGTTTAAGCTTTAAAACAAAATGAAATTTGTAGTAGCTTTAAAAAACAACAACTTTAAAACAATATTTTCTTTATTTTTAGTCTCTTCAAAACTCTCCAGGTCACCTTACATTAGTGTAATTTAGAAGCATATACATAATTAAATAAAATAAAAGCACAAAATCTTAGTCTGATAAGATTATAGCATACATAGCATATGCATTTGCATTTAAACAGATATACAACCACAAAATCTCCTAATCAATTGTAAATTTGCTCCACTACAGTTGTAACATGATGTCTGAAAGTTAAAACATTTCAGCTAAAAAAGCAAAACCTGCTACCAGCAAACCGGAAATGAAGAGCAAGCTTACCAGGGCTGTGTGACAGGAGAAGTCTGGAAAAAGTGTTAGAAGTCACAGGAGTTCATGGTAAGTTTCAAAGTATGTTAACTTGATTGCAGCTATCAGCTGTATGCCCCATCCTGCTAGCTGTTAGGGACAAGTACTGGTGGGTTTCCACTGCCACTGTAGTCAGCTAACACGGGGCAAAATGTCATCAAAATATGTGTATTAAAATACTCGGATTAAAAAAAAATCTCTTAATATTTCATCTGTATTGATTTGAATTCAGTGGTTTAATAGTTTCATTGTTTTATTATCCTGGCGTAAAAGGGCTTTCATAAAATAATTTCCATAAGTTATCCTGAAGTGCTTCATAAACTTTACTATTAAATTTACCGTTGGGAGTCCCATAATGACCACTCAGGCCCACGGAGGTTTGTGTAGGGGAGAAAACACACTCACACGCGCGCGCACGCGGGCTGCATCCCTCCTCTCCAGCGGGGTGTTTGCACGGAGCTTCCGCACATCTGCACGGCTGCAGCTGCTGCAGCAACGCATGCACCGGTGGGGCATCGGTGACCGCTGATCGATTATCGTATCGGAAAGCAATTCGTAGCCGCATGGTGACGTCACGCCGCTGATCGGTAATAGTGGCTGGGCGGGTTGATTGGTGGGTGGGTGGCTGGGTGCCGCGCGGACGCCAGGGGTGGATGAGTGCACCGAAACCCCACAGCAGGTGAAAAAGAAAAAGAAGAGGAGAGGAGGGGGGAAACACATAATTGCAGGAGGAGCGCGAGGACGTGCACGGGGACTGTTTGTTTATTTTTGACGTCGGCGCGTGGGAAATGTAGTAGCTGTCACGGCCGTCCGCAGGTGGAGGATGGATGTGTAACAGGACGGATCAAGCCAGCTGTGGCCTGCTTCTGACAGCAACATCTGGCCGGTGAGTCCTCACTGACAGCCGCTTGCCAGGCAGGAGGGCGGGCAGCGCAGCTCTGCGTGCCCGAAACAAGAGAGGCAGGCTCGGATTGACACAGCCGCGCTCCCCGCTCTCCGGTCCGGTGAGTCGGTGTGACCTCGTCCTTGGCTGCCGGATGGTGGATGAGTGATTGATGTGTGACAGTCAGGCTGGTGTGCAGATGTGATCAAGGCTCTTCGCTTATCGCCCAGAAAAGAAACGGGGGTAAAAAATAAATAAATAAATAAATAAAAGGAAAAAAGGATCCTGAACGTGACATGTTGTTAAATGCCTCCCGTGCAGCTTGCATGCACACCTTCAAATGCAATCCATAACATTTACACTACTGCAACTGTAAATTGTGGAGACATTTGCAGTCACCTGCGGCACAGAAGGGTTAAATCCCCGCTGAAATGCCTCACAATTCCATGGAGATTAAAGCATATATAAGGGAAAGCACTCTAATCTCATCAGTGAGCCTCATTACGAATCCCTACAGAGGCTGATACTGTAGGTGCATAAAAAGAAAAGCACAACATGAGCCTCCATAGGGGTGTTGTAGTGATACCATAAGGTCACTATAAAATCAGTATGAGTGTCTGCAGGGATATTAGGGAGGTTTATAAAAACCAGTGTGAATCCCTGCAGGGTTATTATAGAGGGTGCTCCCCTGTAAACTCACCCTGTGACACGCTCAGTGGCTGTGACAGTGATTTTCTGGTCATTGTGCCTCCTCCTTGTCCACATCCTGACCGGCTTGTAGTCCTCCTGCAGGGTCAGAGAGGGCGCCTCAGCAGCCAGCCGGCTCTGGACTACAGCGGGCAGGTAGAGGCGATGGAGGAGGGTGACACAGAGGGGGAAGGGCCCATGGTGGCCAGAGAGGGACCGAGTGGTCACAGCCACCCTACAGACTCCAGCGGCACCACCACCACCAACCTCCTGGCTTCTGTCAAAGAGCAGGTAGGCGGCAGAAGATGCTGCAGTCACACCCTTGTTCGTGTGTGCTCCTCATTTTCCCACATTATTCCCACGCCTTTCACTCTCCATTAATAACTCATCAGTGACTGACTTTGGCTTTACGCTGCCAGTTCTGAGGCTGCATTCACACTGACAGTCTCTGTGTTTTTAATGGAGCTGTTTTCGCTGTTTCTTTGCATTAGACCTGCTTGAAGATCTCTGCACAGAGGCACTCACTTAGGAAGATCCATGCATGCTTTGTGGTTGTTTTGCATATGTTTTTGTTTTTGAGTCATGTAGTATAACTCTCTGTGGTTATTTTATGTCTGTTTATGATCATTTTACATCCCACTGTGATATTTTTGTGTTTTTATTGGTTATTTAGTTTCTCTTCAAGCTAATTTTCATCTCATCTGTTTTGTGGTAGGCTCCTTATCTTTGATGGTTTTTCTTGCCTCCTTTATAGCTTTTTGTGGGCATTTCCTGCCTCCCTATGGCTATTTTAAATCCTATTTTGGTTGTTTGGGATGTGCTAATTTTTTGTTCATTTGTTGTTGTTTTGTGTGCTTCTGGGGCATGTAACTTCTCTTTGTAGTCACTTTGTATCTCTTTTGGATAATTTGGTGTCTCTCTTGCACTATTTTGCGTCCCACTGTGTCTGTGGGTTTAGCTTGCCTTTCTTCAAGGTCTGTTTGCATCCCCTTGAGGATATTTTCTGACTCTTGAGATATTTCATACTCCTACATGGTTATTTCATGGTCTTGTGTGTCTCGTTGTGGTCATTTTGTGTCCCATTGTGGTTGTTTTGGATCCCTTTGTGGTCATTTTTTAAATCTCTGGAGCCATTTCACATCCCTTTGTTTTTGGAGCTTTTTGTTTTGTATTCATTTAGAACAGGTTCCTCTGTCTTGCTTTATGTTTCTTTTATCTATTTTGGGGACATTTTGCTTCTCTAACATTCTTTTGTTTCCTATTGTGGTTCTTGGAATTTATTTATTTATTGTGTTCATCTTTAGCACGTTAAAGTTGTTTTGTGTCACTTAGTGGTCTCTTTCTACCTGTTGTTGTTATGTTGTTTAGTTGTCTTTTATTTTGTTGTTTTGTTGTTGAGTCCTCCTTGTGCCATTTTGCATTCCATTGTAGTCATTTTGCATTTCTTTCGTTTCTCTTTCTCTTTGATTTTGCTTCTTATTGGGCTTCTTTGTTTTTTACCTCTCTGGTTTCTTTTGTGTTTTGGGGGCATTTTGCTTAACATTGAGGTCATCTTCTATCCTTTTGTATTTGTATTGCATTTTTGGGGGGCATTTTTTATTCTCATTGCGGCCCTTTTGCATCTGTTTATATTAATTTTGTATCTCTGGTATTATTTTGCATCCCTTTTCTCTGCTGTGGTTTTGTGTCCCTGGATATTTTTCCATCCCTCTGTAGAATCATGTGTACCTATTCACTATCCTTTATTGTCATTTTGTGTTTATATGCATCATTTTGTATCCTTTTCTCTACATTTTCCTTTCCTTTATAGTCACATTGTGTCTTTGTTTTTCTTCTTTTATTTTTCATTTTGCTTCCCTTCTGTGGTGGTTTTGTCGTTTGCTGCTCTCTGAAGTCATTTATATCTGATTGTGGTTGTTCTTGTCTCTTTGGGCTAACTGTAACACCATTTGTGTTCATTTGGTATTTATGTCCTTAAGATCATCTTACATCTTTTTTGTATTTACTTTGCCTCCTCTTTCTGATCATTATACATCCTTTCATAGTTGTTTTGGGAGGATGGTCAGATTGTATGAGGGGACACTACACCACTAGCCATCCCTCTGGTCCCGCCCCTTCTCACAGGATAAATGAAGTCTGCGATTCACCCAAATTTACTGAGCAAATCCAGAGGATTATCTGCAGATGAGACTGAAATGTAATGGGTCTCCATGCTGAGCCTCATGAATTTGCACCCAGAATTCTATTAAAACTCTCATTAATAATTTCCACTATCAGCCTTCTGTGATGCTCTGCCCTTAAAAGGATGGGGGGAAAAAACATATTTAAAAAAGATTTACTCACACAGGAGTAGATGTATAAACATTATTTTGATGTTTTTTTTTATTATGAAGATTATAGACATGGCAGATTTGCACAAGATTAAGAGCAAAGACAACTGCTGCAGTTATTACAGATCGCTTGAGGTCACCTGGTGATATTTATCCAATGTAAACAGGCCTTTATACGAACTGACAGCGATGTTATGAAAGTGTGTTTTTGTACCTGTTTCCTTTGCTTGCTTTCCACACATTTCAGATAGTGTTTTGTCTTTTGTCATTCCTTTTATATTCCACTGCAGTATTTCACTGTTTTTGTCCTTGTCATTATCATTCCTACTGCTGCCCTGCCAGTGTGACTAAACCTATCTCTGGTTAAATGCTGTAAAATTTAATTAACAGCTCAGGAACATTCAGATATTCAAATTGATGGGTTGAATGTTGATATCAGCTGACCTCTGTTTTTCTAACACAAACGTCTTTCTGCTGACACTCGCTGAACAAACATGAGATCAGGGAGAGCGTTACAACACAGAGACACATGTGAACACAGCCTCCGTCTGTCTCCCTTCCCTGCTGTTATTTTTGTGGTGATTTCTGTCCAGTCGACACAGGAGTCTGTCTGTTGTCCTGCTTTTAATTATTCCTGGACTGTGGCCATGTTCTCAACTTAGTCCCCGAGTGTGTGTGACGCCGAATGAGGCAGGCTGCTATTTAAAGGCTTATGATGTCCAAGAAAAGAGAATCAGCTCTCACTTTTAATCTGCCGTTTCTGTGTCGCTGCAGATTGTGGCTAAATCTCTACTGATGTGAATTTGGGGGAAAAGGTTGTTTCCAGCTGCTTTTGGTGTTCGTAGAACGCAGCAGGAGCAGCTTTGTCACCCCTCGATCGCTCTTGGTGCTTTAAAAAGCTCTGCTTGAGCTTCATGTTGCAGATGTCGCCTGTGTTGTTTTCATTTCTTGTTGATTAATGTCTACAGCGGGTCCCCCCACGATGAAAAAAAACTTAAGGTTGGAATTGAAAAAGTTGGATGAAGAGTCAGTACAAGATCAATACTAAACACAACAGTTTCAAAGGAGTTTGTGAAGTAGTCACGACTTGTAAGACATTGATTCGTTTTTGTGGACGTGAATCTTCCATTTTTTTTTGTGTCCTAGAAAACAACTTTTTTAATCAGACCGCTCTAATGTCTGCTCATTCATGTCCACGTTCATGAAATGCACATTTTCCATTTTCAAAACTGAAAAATTCCACATTTAGAGGCTGAAGCAGTTGATTTTTCTACTCACACAAGAGAGATCACAACATTCTCCCTTCTCTTCTTCTTGATTAGGCAAAACTGTTTAGATTTCTTCTTATTTTTCTTCTTCTTGCTCCCTTTAGGGGTCACCAGAGCAGATCATCTGCCTCCATCTCACTATCTCTATCATCCTCCTCTGTCACACCAAGCCTCTGCATGTCTTCCTTTACTACATCCATGAATCTTCTCTCCGGGCTTTCTTTTTTCCTTTTGCTCAGCGGTTCCACATTCAGCGTCCTAGATCACAACTCACTTTAAATATCATAAGAAATGTGAGTTGGAGGGTGTAGCTGCAACCCAGCGCGCTTAGTGAAGAAACCCTTATACGATGTGAGAATCTGATCAAGCTGTTTGTCAGAGGGAAAGTGTGATCTTTAGGACACTCTAGCCAAACTTTAGCTGGCGTAATGTTAGCTAATAGCTGGATGTTCTTGTCGTTTAGCCGGCTTGTTGTCAGCTGTCCGGAGACGGGAGGGTCACATCTCTAATCTGCTGACAATATGTTTCCTTCTTTGGCTCTCGGAGGAGGCGGACGCACTTTTTCTCCTCTCCCTTATCTTCCCTGCTTATGTCCTTGTCTAGTCTCGTGGGTTTTTTTGTATTTTCCCTGGAATATTCTCTCACAGTCTGTTCTCTAAAACCTAAAAGAGGAATTATGGATTGGATCAACTGGTCCCTAAATGCAATTGACACCCCTTTCTCAACGAGAAGTTTGGGCTTGGGTGAGCCTGAGTGCTGAAGATATCTACCTATTCGGAACCATGGTAACAGGGTGGCTGATTGGAGCTGGCTTGGCCCTGATTTATCGAAGAATTAAGGAAGCGGAACCGGCTGTTCAAACCCCCACAAGGCTGCCCGCTGGGATTGGAACGATGGGAGAGGCGTGAGTTTCTCAAAATGGGCTCATTGAGTGCAGCACGGATAAGAGCTTGGAGAGGCTACGGCTGCTGTGAATACTCAGAATAAGATCTCTGACTGCAGACTGGATACATCTCGGAAGGGCTAGCCTGGAATAACATCTCTGGGCGCAAATTGGATGACATCTCGGGGAGGCACACTGCCGTGAGTTCTCAGAAATTGGCTCCTTGAGCACAAGAAATGACAACATCACAGAACGCAAGTATGGCGAAGCTCGCGGCTCTCCAACGGGAGATTGAGAGACCAGTGTTGGACTGTAGAACTGCTTTGAAATTCATATGAGCTGTTCGCACTAAAGTAAAAAATACCATCACTTCATGCGGATACCTCTTCGGCGCCAGCTGCAAGGCCGGAGCTGAACAAAACACCCTGATAACGACTGTGTTTAGTCTGTTCCTTCCCATTCCATGCAAGGCCACCTGGGTTGGCTGGAAGACTGTTTACTTAGCCTGGCAGGGCGAAGGACACTGTCTCAGCTGAACTATGGACACGCACACACATACATATACTGATACTGATAAGCACTCACCGACGCATCACCCTCCTTACCCCGGATCCAACGCCACCTCCAATGCTTACCTCCCCTTTGATGTGGACATCGGGTCAGTTGGAGGCGCAGTCGAAAGATTGCAGCGGTCCCAGATCAGATGTACACACTGGAACTCTTTCCCATGTTGCTTGTCTGTGTTTATTGTGCTATGGTGTGTTGATATCTGTGCATTCCTGTATTATCCTTCTGTGTTACACATTTCGA